TCCCAAAATGGGTAGAACCGGATCGAACCGTTTAGAACTGATTGGTTGGGTTTCGGATCTTCTAAAAAATAATTTGATTTCGGGACAAATTATTAAGAACCGATCTATGCCGGTCTGGTTCCCAGTTCTAATATGAGAACCGTCGAGAACCAAACGGTTCTCATAGGATTTTTTTTTTTGATAAAATATATGACTCAATCTCCAACACTTTTATAAAAAAATAATTAGGTTCCTTCTTAATTTTAGATTACAACACTTTCCTTCTTCTCTTTGATTCTTTGATTCTTTTTTTTTTATAATTCTTTGATTAATTGATTCTCAATTCAAATTAGAATATTAGGTAAATCTATACCTAAATAAATTTATTTACAATATATAATTTCATTTATAAGATGCGAAATTTTTATTTTGTTTTCACTTTGTAAATCTATACATAAATAAATCTTTGAATAATATGTTCGGTTCTTCTATATTTTGTTAAAAGTATCACGTTGATAGCATTTTTAGATTTTTTATTAGTGAACATTATATTTTTACATTTTCAATGTAAAAAACTGGACATGACCATAGTTAGCTATGGAACCAATGGTTCCATTTCTAAAAGTCCCATTGGTATTCAGTTCGGTTTGGTTTCCTTTGGAATCGGATCAAATCGGACTGCGCCGACTCCTAGTTTTTGATTTTTTTATAATTTATTTGGGACTTATTTTCATATTTTAAAAAATTTTGGGAGTACAAATGCAATTAGTTTCTCTTTTGTTTTCTTTATGTTTTATTTAAATAGAAGGTATATTCGTCAGCTCACAGTTTTAATAATTAGAAATTAGATAAAAAAAATGATGATTTTCAAAATGAAGGGTTTAAAATAGAGGCGAAAATGAAAAAAAAAAGGGAATGTTTTGCACAATGAACTTCATGCGTAGGGATATATTGGGCTAATATACAAATACTCCATTCGTTCCATTTATATAGAGTGATTTTGTTTTTCGTACGATTTAGGAAATCTTATTTAACGTTATTGAAATAATAATTTTTGTAAAATTTTTTCTTAATTTACTTTTATTTAATTATTAACAACTAGTTGTAAATTATTGTTGATAGTGGTAAAGATACTGAATGATTGATTATAATTAGAAAAACTATATAAAGATATATTAGTTTACCCTCATAATCCTTATTGTTGAGTTATAACTCAACTTTTGAATTTTGATTGAAAGTGAAACTCGGAAAAATCGAAAATTCTCAGGATATTGCAATCCTGACATGGCAGCATTTTCACCTTAAAATTCTCACTACACAAAACGTCAAAAGTCCAAGGCCCAAGCAACACCCCCCCCCCCCCCCCCCACCCCGACGCCGGGCCACCCACCCCACAAACTCCAATCGAGTTCTAGAACCCTCGAGCAACCACTTCTTAAACCCATCTTCGCACTTCAAAAGGGTTTTCAATTATTAAAAACCCTCCCAATTTCTTCACCTCCCACCTTATCTAGAAAGAAACCCATATCTACAATATTATCTCAAAATTTGTAAGAAATTGATAAATGGCCCCTGTTCTGAGCAGAAGTCTGACCGCTGCTTCACTTCCATATACTGCTTCATTTTCTCTGGAGAATTCTGGTCGTGCTAATAGGGGAGTTTTAAGAAGTGCTTTTTTACCGGGGAGTGGATTAAAAAAGGGATTTTTAACAAGTGGGTTGAAGTGGAAACTGCAGAAAAGAGAGAGCGGAGTGGTGGTGAGGTGCGAGGCTGCTATAGCTGAAAAGGAGGCTACAGAAAGCGCTGGTGAGACACATGAGTACCAGGCTGAGGTATGATTTCTTTGTTCAGTATGAATTTCATATTTCTTTTGATGTTTTTTTTTGCAAAACGTTAAAATAATTAAAATTTTGAATATTGTGTGTTGTCAATTAGATGAATGATTGTTTTAATGATAATTGAAGTTATTAATGGAGATAAGTTGAATCTTTTTCGTTGAAGTACTTTAATGAGCAAGAAGGTGTAGAAATAGTTCTCTCTTTTAAATTTTAGGTGTAATGTTTATCTGCGATGGTTTTGACCTTTGATACTCTAAAAACTTGGAAATGGGATTTGATTTCAGGTTAGTCGATTATTGGACTTAATAGTTCACAGTTTGTACAGCCACAAGGAAGTTTTTCTTAGAGAGCTTGTGAGGTGGGGATATTCTATTTCTCTCTAGTTTGTTGTTTGCTTAGCAAATGTCCAAATTTTAATTTCCAATTCAGATTACTGCTCTTATATTTATGTTTTTATAGTGAGGTGGTTTTGTTTTGACTATTTTTTGTTGCGCAGTAATGCAAGTGATGCTCTTGATAAATTGAGGTTTTTGAGTGTGACTGAGCCTTCTCTACTTGGAGATGCTGGTGAACTGGAAATTCGTATAAAACCTGATCCAGACAATGGGACCGTCACCATAACGTGTGTGCCTTAATATAGTGTTTTCACCAGAAGAAGTTTATGTGGAAGAGTAGCTTATTTTTCCTGTGTTTGCAGTGATACCGGTATTGGAATGACAAAAGAGGAGCTTATAGACTGCCTTGGAACTATTGCGCAGAGTGGCACTTCTAAATTCTTAACGGCTTTGAAGGTGTCTATTTCTTCACAATTTGGGATGCAGCTTGATATGCCTTTTTATTCTCTTGAATCTGGCAACTGAAGCTTTACCCTATATATGTAGGAAAACAAGGACCTTGGGGCAGACAACAGCTTGATTGGTCAATTTGGCGTTGGTTTCTATTCAGCATTTTTGGTTGCTGAAAAGGTGATGATTTATGTTCATGTATAATTTGATTGATGTTCATTAATAATCTATTGGGACCTTTATTCCTTCCGCATTGTTGCTAGTTATGATTAGACCTATTTTCCCAGGTGGTGGTGTCAACAAAAAGTCCCAGATCAGATAAGCAATATGTTTGGGAAGCCATGGCTGATAGCAGCTCCTATGTGATTAAGGAGGAAACTGATCCTGAGAAGTTGCTACGTCGAGGAACACAAGTCACACTCTATTTGAGGGTATCCATCATTGTTTTTCTTCCAAAACCTGTTCCTTAAATACACATTATATCTATATTGTGGTAATAGTTTCGTGTTATGATGTGCAAATTGGGCAGAGATTCTTGTCTTACTTTTTCCCCTTCTATATTTAGTGCCTAGGATGCTTCAGAATAAACTTTTTGATTGTGCAGTGAAGAAAAGTTTTTATGAAGTTTCTTCCACTGTAGTTGCTAATAGTGCTATCTTTGGAATTTGAATGGAATCAACTTAGCTCATACTTTTCCTGCAGGAAGACGATAAGTATGAATACTCAGAGCCAACCAAGATCCAGAGCTTGGTGAAAAATTATTCACAGTTTGTTTCATTCCCCATCTACACATGGCAAGAGAAGTCGAGGACAGTCGAGGTGAGAATTTTTATTTGATGTACAATAACAACGAACTGAGCTTTTTTTACAATAAACCGGGTGTCCCTACCTGAATCCTTTTTTCCTGTCGGTTTTCATTGCTACATCAGATAGAATATCCAAACTCTAAATCCTTTGCAAGCACAATAGGCCATCTTAGTATTTTTATCTGGTGTCAAATGAATATTTTCGTGCGACTCTTTATTGGGAGATGGAAGCCCCCTCCTTAGGGCAGTAAATGGATTCGATATGGATTGGATCTGCTCATATTTGATCCAAATCTAACTGATATTTGATTGTCAAATCCATATTCGATTTGCGATGTTATTGAATATCTAATTCAAAATTGAAAAAATTAGAAAGATAAAATTTTTATATCGATCAACTTCTAAGCCCTATAATTAAAAGGCCAAATATCTTTTTACCCGGTTCTAAGTGCACCTATCTATAGATTGCAAATCCTGTAATATTCTAGTGAGTATTTGATGTGAGAAATGGGAAGTTAGGAACAATGAAAGCAACTTCAACTGTTGGACCATTTGGTTGTTTAGCCCCCGTTTGAGCCCCATTAATTTTCATTACATTACATTTCATTTTTCTCTCTCCTATTTTCAACCTCACAATCTTCCATAAAATAATATTACACGTAAATTGAAAATTTTTCCTCCTTTTTCAACAATTCATTTTTCAAAAAACACTATTCCACACATTAATTTTTTCCCGTACTGGGGGCCAAACAGGGGCTTAATTTATAAAATAAATTAATTATTATTTTTTATCTTGTTTTAATTAATAAAAAATTAAACACTCTTCAAATATTTCAATTAACAATATTATACTATTATGAAGTATTATTTATTATTTGAATATTATGTGAAATATGATACAAGTTTCAAATTAAAAAAAAAAAAAATTGTGTAATAAATTATGCCATAATATATAAAATATATTATATTATTAGAACTAATTGGATCGGGTTGTTATTGGATCGGATTGACTTGTATCATTTTTGTTTCATTTAGTTAACGGATTTGGATCTTGATTGGGTTAACTAATTGAGACCCTAAATCCGTCTTCCATTAATTTCATCGGATTCGGATAAAAATTCAATACATTGACAGCCCTACCCCTCCTGGCACACTTCTCTTTTTCTTTAACTAATCTCTTCATGTGTCTGGTAACTGCACAAAATACATAAAGTAATAGACTGGTAACGTGTCAGGAATGTGTATGCAGTTGATTGTAGATACTTTTAGAAATTTGTATCAGCTCTAATATGTTAAGAGGTATGATGGTATAGACATGCCTATGATGCCCAAATTTTTCTTTATCATCCAGAAAAGAAATAGAATATTTACGGTGTATTGTTCCTTATCTTGTAATAAAGTGTTGAAAGTAAACCAATCATCAAAAAACAGAATATTTACATAGTATGAATCTTCATCTCATAATGATAATGAGTTATTTCAGTCCAATTTTTTCTCCTTTGGCTTTACTTGGTTTAGTTGGATGTTAATTATTGGTGTTAATTTTAGCAGGTAGAAGAGGAGGAGGAACCTAAAGAGGGTGAAGATAAACCAGAGGTATGAGTCAGTTATAATCACGTTTTTTCACAAATTTTCCAATTTTCTAGAAATATTTGTGTTAATTCAACTTCATCTTATATTGTTTCCAGGAAGAGAAGAAGAAGACTAAAAAGACCAAAACTGAAAAATATTGGGATTGGGAACTAGCCAATGAAACAAAACCTATATGGGTGAGTTTGAGCTGGCACGTTGTGCATTAGTTTTTTCAGGACTCTCATTTTACACTTCTGGATTGTACTCTTACAACCTTATTTATTTGACATTTGCAGATGCGGAATCCGAAGGAAGTTGAAAAGGATCAATATAATGAATTTTACAAAAAGACTTTTAACGAATTTTTGGATCCACTTGCCCACACCCATTTCACTACAGAGGTACCTACTGTTAATTTTGGATGAGCAGGTAGAAACTTAGTTTTTGTTTTGACTTGCCAAACTGATGCAGGGTGAGGTGGAGTTTCGAAGTGTGCTCTACATTCCTGGAATGGCGCCGCTTAACAATGAAGATGTTGTCAATCCCAAGACAAAGAATATACGTTTGTATGTGAAACGTGTGTTCATCTCAGATGATTTTGATGGCGAGCTGGTAAGAACCCTTGTGTGCTAGTTTGAGACATGATGTCTTTTTTAGCTAAGGAAATACTTACTTCCTCAGTCTTGTTTGTTGTGGTGCTTTGTCATTTGTCAACAATCTTTAAGCCATACGGCCAATTTAAACAAAACCATGTCACGTTTATACAATACTAGTTAAGGTTTGATTTATGTTATTTCTATACTGTCAATAAAATAAAGAAGAAACATATGATTGCTTGATCCTAATTGCCTTTCATGATGCCTGATTATAAACTAATCATTGCTTTAACTTTGAAACTTGCAACGAAAATTCACTGATTTTTGCTATTGTATATGTAGTGTCTCACAAAACCAAAGTTTGGTTTGCAAGTGATCTTAGTATATCATTTCTTTTGTCTTCAGAAAGGGTGTAACTAGGGTTTGTGTCTTTGTTCATCGACTGTCCTGCTCTTTGCATGATCTACCTTCGGATAGTTGCTGAATTGTAAATATGATTGATTGTTGGAATAAATTTTGAGGAACAGTCATGAAATTCGTCTTGGTTCTTGGTTTTGGTTTCAGATTTACTCATCAATGCTATATGCTATTAACAAATTGCTGTTACGTAGGATA